ATATATATATATATATATATATATAGCCTATATAGTTTTTGTTTTTGCATCAGTCACAATTTCAATTCTGTCTCTATAATATTCTGTCTATATGATTCAGATTCCTCCTTCAATTAAAGTATATGGGGACTTTTTTATTTTATAGTCCATTTTATGGTTCACCATGATCAATAAAATTTGGATTACTCTGAAAAGTAGGAGTGCACCCCTCCTCAACAAGCCATCTGATCTGTGTGAGATGAGTTATACACCTAAGATAAATGCTTATAGAGTTAAATATGAGCAACAGTGATATGGACAAGGAAATTAGTAAAACATGACCCGATTACTGTTAATCTGAAGGAATTTCCTGTATTGGTTTCTTACAGGTGTTTTACCCGTATTTTAATGACTCATTGCATTGTGGGGGTTGGTTAGTTAGTTAGTTAGTTAGTTAGTTAGTTAGTTAGTTAGTTAGTTAGTTAGTTAGTTAGTTAGTTAGTTAGTTAGTTAGTTAGTTAGTTAGTTAGTTAGTTAGTTAGTTAGTTAGTTAGTTAGTTAGTTAGTTAGTTAGTTAGTTAGTTAGTTAGTTAGTTAGTTAGTTAGTTAGTTAGTTGGTTGGTTTAAAAAAATGTTGTAAATTGAAGGTATATGTCATTTTCCACCATTATATTTATTTATTTTTATTTATTTATTCTTGTCTTAGCAAACACCACTAACTAATTGTGACTTGAATATGAGTCTATCACAAAGAAAAAGTATATAAAACTGTTTTAAAGCTAAAATTCTGCTGTGTTTATAAAATGGAAAATAGATAAGCTAGTAGTCATGTTTATTTAGAGAGCATGCCTGACATATGACGTGCAAAATGGCTAAATACTAAAGGATCAAACTGCTTGGATGCATGTTTTCCAAGCATTTAAAGCTTTGAGTTTTATGTGCATCAGCCTTTCACCCTGTTAGAGTAAGATCGTGATATATTATATCATCCACTCTCTTTAGATTCAGGAGTTGAACTGCACAAATTCAGTGAACCCACAGATAAGCTAATTGAGCTTTTATCTGAATTATTTTACTGTGGAGGTTGAAAACAACAAACAGTGTTTATTACATTTAATTTTTAGCTAGTCAGAGTAGTATAGTACGTGCCTTTTACTTTCATATGACATTTTTATCTGATATCATAAAGATAAAATAAGCACTGCAGCAGAGAGAGTTGATAATTATTAATAAGCCTACAACTTCACCAAAAAATAACTGCATGACATTATACTTTTTAGTGTTTTTAAATGTTTACTGTAATCATTTGTTGTAACTATTCATTTTATATTCAAATTCAAATGCTCCATCAACACGCTTGAAATATGTCTTATATTTAAAATATGTAAGTTTATTATTTTATGTTTAGAGTTTAGTATTTTCAGAGCAAGATAATATTATTATGTAAGACCACAATTATATTTTGTGTGTGTGTGTGTGTGTGTGTGTGTGTGTGTGTGTGTGTGCATATATAATCTATGTATATATAATATA